TCTGTGGCAGTGAGTTCCAGACCCTAACTGATCTTACTGTGAAGAACCCCCTTCGCCCCTTGTGCTGGAATTTTTTTTCCATCAATTTTAGGTGATGGCCTCTAGTTTTTGTAATGGAGTTAATTTTAAACAGTTTATCGCTAATGTTGCTGCCACCATTGAACATTTTGTACATGGAGATCATATCCCCCCTTAATCTCCTCACCTCTAATGTGAACATGTTTAAATTTAGTAGCCTCGTCTCGTAGCTCTGGTCCTCCAGCCCCTCCCCCTTGTCTCATAGCTCTGGTCCTCCAGCCCCTCCCCCTTGTCTCGTAGCTCTGGTCCTCCATACCCCTAATTAGTTTGGTTGCCCTCCGCTGGACTTTTTCCAACTCAAGGACATCTTTTCTTAGTACTGGTGACCAGAACTGGACCGCGTACTCCAGATGAGGTCGAACCAATGATCTATAAAGTGGCAAAATTATAGACTTGTCCCTGCAATACATCCCCTTCTTAATACAGGACAAGACCCTGCTAGCTTTGTTTACAGCAGGGACTTTTTATGGTTCCGGGTCACTTGGGTTGATGCTGAATGTGACCCTTAAGTATCGAATTGGTTATTCAGCAGGGGATTTACTTTAGTAAGATACCCCATATGAGTTTCCACATGTCTGTACACAGTTCTATACGATTTTAAAACTCATATGTTGAGTAAAGCCAGAATAGTGGATATTATCTGATCCAATTGAGGATTTGATATCCCATTTTGGAGTTTATAAGTGGCACATCCAAGCATCGTAAGGACAGATATGATGGAGAGTTTTTTCCTCATTTTTGATGTCAGTTAATATATGTATACATTTATATTTATACGCTAGCAAAGATGTGGGACCTAAAGATGCGATTTAAGGCTTTACAGGTGCCGTTACATTGAATGTATTACCTTCTGTCTTTATTTTTGAAAAGTGACATGGTTTTGATTGTGTCAAAACCATGTCAATCAGCCCTCGTTAGTGAGCTATTCAACACACCCATGCAAGATATCAAACACACACCCCTCTGAGGAAGCCCCTGTGTGGGGAGGAAACGCGTCAGGGTTACGTGTGCTAATACTTCCCTGGATACCCGCAATTGACTACTCACCCCGTGTACAAGGCTGGGTAAGAGCAAACATCTTGCCGGCTTTTGAATTGAGGTGACGGAGCATAGCCCGTCTGGACACGGTCTTGGTCAAAAAGCATCGGAGCTTACTTAAATCCAGCAGACCGAGGGAAACGAGTGGACAGCTGCCCGTGGATCATACACAGCTTTCGGATCCAAAAACCGCGTCTGGGATATAACACCGTGGAGATTACATCACTTCCCTTTTTTTCTCTTGACTGTGCGGCCGCACACATATGAAAACGACCTCTGGATACCTTCTAATTCGAAAATTGAATTCCACGGGCCAGTGAGAGTTCTCAGAAGGTGGAGGGAGAAGGGCACGTACAGCTTCTGGCCCTATTAGGGAGATATATTCTCTGGAACCCGACAGCCACAACTTGATATGCTTTTTTAAGCACTTTACTCACACAATATTGTGGGATCCAAGCAGGACTGTCCCTCCCTGCAGTCTTATCTCTCTCAAATTTGGAGTCCTTTACATCTAGCAAGTCTCTGTTAAAGGACTCAACCTGCGAGTTCAAATCAGAGTTAACATACAGGGGTACAGGTAATATACAGGGGTACAGGTAATATACAGGGGTACAGGTAATATACAGGGGTACAGGTACTCCTAGAATGAGATCCTAATAGGTTGGACTTGATGGACTTATGTCTTTATTCAACCTCAAATACTATGTAACTATGCTGTCTCCTCTCCTGCTGCCTTTTGATCATTCATCAATGTATTAGATCTCCAGTCATCAAGGAGTGGATCTAACATGAGGCAGCAAAGCCCCGTTCCTCTACCAACGTGACCATCCCATCACAAAAACACAATAGGAAATGAGGCAAGGTATGTCAGCCTGAGGTGAGGATCAGCTGCGAGCAGCCTATAGGCAATGCTAGGGACTAGTTCTTGGCCCTCCTCTTTTTTCTGGTACAGCATCCAACGGTATGGGTTCTGTTTCAGGATCAGTCCAAGTTCTCAGTAATGAAGTATTTTGAAATATCAGATAACAAGTTCAGCATTAACACGTGTTGGTGGGATCTCTTAGTTGACCCATGTTTCCTCTTTGTGGAGATTGTCCGGTGATTTAAGGCCATTTCTACAAAGAACAAGCTAGCGAAGAGGGACAACTGAAATCCAATAAAATAGGAGATTGTCCTTCTAGTCACCAACATCCGAGTGTTAAAGTGAAGAGAAGATGATCTGACTAATGAATGCCTTTCCTGTTGTAGGAGAAGATGTGGCTTCTGTGATTGGACGTGGTGGCACACAGGTCATCATGGCGACAGACAACTTGACTTGCAGCAGTATTGAGGAGTTCACTCTCAGCGGTTTACCGAATCTGGATGACTTCAATTTCTGGTTTGGTTTTCCTTTCCTCATAATGTATCTGGTGTCTGTCCTGGGAAACTCCACCATCATCTATATCATCATGGTGCACCAAGAACTTCATGAGCCCATGTACATCTTCCTTTCCATGCTTTCAGTGGTGGACCTCGTATTAGCCAACACAGCCATGCCTAAAATGCTGGGAATCTTCTGGTTTGATAGCCCGAAGATCTCCTTCAGCATGTGTCTAACCCAGATGTTCTTCTTCCATTTCCTCTCTACCCTGGAGTCTGCGACACTGGTTACCATGGCCGTAGACCGATATGTGGCCATATGCCACCCTCTTCGATATTCTTCCATCTTAACCTACCGGACCATCACTAAGATCTCTCTGGTCCTTATGCTCAGAGGAGCAGCTGTAATGGTTCCTCTCCCATTTATTATTCAGAGGTTTCCATTGTGGAAGAGCAATCATCTGACACACTCCTATTGTGTCCACCAAGAGCTCATGAAGTTGGCCTGCGCTGACATAAAGGTCAATATCATCTATGGCCTCTTCATTACTCTTTACGTCATGGGCATGGACTCTCTGTTTATCTCCATCTCGTATATGCTGATCATAAAGACGGTGGTTTTCCATGTGACTGACGCCAGTCAGAAGGCCATCAGTACGTGTACCTCCCACATATGTGCCGTCCTTATCTACTACATCCCGTATATTGGCCTTGCCGTGGTGCACCGATTTCCCAGTGACACAGTCCCCAATCTTCATATCCTGTGTGGCAATGCCTACCTCCTGCTTGCCCCCGTCATTAACCCTTTGATCTATGGGATTAAGACAAAGAAGATACGCTGCAGACTCAGCAAATATCTCAGTAAAGTATGAAGTGAAGGTGAACAATGGCGGCTCTTCTGACTCATGGACAATTCTACGATGGATCTCCTGATATGAATGAACAACATCTGTAACTATAGTTCATGATACAATTTATACATTTTTTTAGACGGATGTTTTGTATTTTTTTTCATCCTATCGGATTTGTAAGAAAAGAATATAGGAAGCAAAATTTGTTTTATTTCCAGTCCAATACGGAGATTTCATATTCAAAATATGAATACAGAAAGTTAGAAGAGAGAAGGAAAGAAAAGGGATGTTGTATTTTAATGCTCACCTAGAAAGTTAACGATGTAAGGAAGAGATTTGGGTTGTGGACTTCTACATGATGGCTGCCGTACCGGAAGGGGTGTGTAGTAATGGAGGCAGTTTAATAAGTTTAATGTTTTGAATCTTCTTATGGCCTTGGCTCTCAACTGATGGGTCGCGACCCCGTTTTCAGTGGGTCACCACATGCCTTCCACTTTTCTAGATAAGAGGCTCCCCCTAGCGCAGCACTGTCAGTTCTGACACCAAGCAGCCATTCAAAACATGCTGCCCGATGCCGAATGTCAGCTTGAGGTGGGGTGGGATGTGGCTATGGCCGCAAGCGAGCTACATTCATACATGCTTTGCTTACAGCTCCCTCACGTGTCCTGTAGAGGTGCCTGGACCGGAGTGACGGCACATTCTGTCTCCCGCCACCTCTACAGGGCGCGCAAGGGAGCTGTACAAGCCATGCACCTATGGATGGAGCTCCGTCCCAGCAGCCCACACTGGATACCAGGCTGAGGATCCACTCCAGTTCTAGATGAGATAGAAAAACTGGGTGGAGCTTACAAAAAGAAAAACAAATTGAGGGAAGGTGTGTGTGAGAGAATGTCTGTGGTTGTGTGTGTCTGTCAGGGTTTTTGAGGGCCTGTTCACACTTTACAGCGCAAAATCGCACCTACCGAGAATTCTGCTGTGGGAGGTGTGTGGCGTTGCTTTTCATTTGAATGGCACCTCAAATGCACCTCCCACCCACAGTTAAATTGCCCGCACACGAACGCGCTGTACTGCAATGCCGTGCGTTCCAATGTGGTGCGACTTGGGTCATGACTCAATGACAAAGAACAATAGCGGGTCCTGATGTTACAGAGGTTGAGAACCACTGATTTACGAGACAGGAAGTTTCCCATCACTAATAACTTATCTGCATCTCTCCTCGGGGAGACTTCCTGTACTGGACGCTGATCTGCAAAGATCACTTTAGGTTAGAGGAGATCAGCAACCCCATCACTCAATCCCGGGTTCACTGTGAGGGTAGTGCAGAGTCTTCAGGTTAACTTAAAATGGCGACAATACCTGGAACAATGTGTCTCTATTAAGGATGGGCTGCATGTTCGAGTCGACCATAGGTCCGACTCGAACATTGCATGTTCTAGCGTCCGCCGAACGCCGAACATTATGGGATGTCCGCGGTCTGTTCGACCCCGGCACATCCCACAATGCACTGCGCCGTCCGAAAACGGTAATTGGCTACAGTCCTGCATCTGACCGCAGGTCAGGTGCAAGACTGTGCCAATCAGGGCTCAGTACAAATGTAGAGCCATGATTGGGCAGAGTCACGATGACTCTGCCCAATCATGTCTCACAGCTAAGTCCCTGCAGCACACTCTATAAGGCTGCTGACACCGCGGCCCCGTGTAGTGTGCTGTAGGAGATAGAGAGGGTTCTAGTATAGTTAGTTACAGTCAGCAGATAGATAGAGAGTTATAGAGAGTTATAGAGAGTTATAGAGAGTTATAATAGACTTATAACTTATGTATATATATACACACAGAAGTCTGATTATATATATTTATTCCGGGTACTGCCCTGGGGGACATGTATCAATGAAAAAAACACTTTTAAAAAATACAATTTTTAAAGGAGTAGTGATTTAACATCACTTAAAATGAAACATTAAAAATTCCTTTAAATATGGTGCGTGGGGGGTCCCCTTTCACTGACCGTAAAGTGGCGCATCTGTATGATGTATAGAACCTGCTGAAGCAAAAATGACATTTATATACATTTTATTGATATTTATATAGAACTCGAATATATACAGAAGTCTGATACTATATATATATATAAAATCAGACTTCTGTATATATTAGAGTTCTATATAAATATCAATAAAATGTATATAAATATCATTTTTGCTTCAGCAGGTTCTATACATCATACAGATGTGCCACTTTACGGTCAGTGAAAGGGGACCCCCCAGGCACCATATTTAAAGGAATTTTTAATTTTTAATGTTTCATTTTAAGTGATGTTAAATCACTGCTCCTTTAAAAATTGTATTTTTTAAAAGTGTTTTTTTCATTGATACATGTCCCCCAGGGCAGTGCCCGGATCCCCATACACTTTTTATGGCCAATAAATTGCATATAAGGCTTCAAAATGGGGACATTTAAATTTCTGAGTTCTACCCCCATAGACTTGCATTGAGTTCTAAGTTCGAGTTAGAACCGAACACGGGGGTGTTCGGCTCATCACTAGTCTCTATTAAGCATGAGCAGTAAAACAAATATTTAACTGTAGAAATGTAATTTACTGCTCCTTGTTATACCCCCCACACTCCTCTCCTGTACATACTGCCCCC